CCCCCACACCCGCGCCCAGCCTGGGGCGCAGGGACCTCTGGGGAGCTCAGAGCTGGGAGTCCTCCTCGCAGGCTTCCCCTCCGCACACCGCAGGCCCTGTCCCCAGGGAGCCAGGAAGGCCAGGGGCCCCAACCGCAGGCCTAGGACAGAGCACAAGGAGGTGGGGGGACAGGAAGTGACTCTGGGACACCCGCTGAGACCCCCCACACCCGCGCCCAGCCTGGGGCGCAGGGACCTCTGGGGAGCTCAGAGCTGGGAGTCCTCCTGGGCCTTACAGGTCATCGGCCCCTCCCACCCACCTGAACGTCATTTTGATTCCGCATGTTTGCCCGAATTGTCCTAAATAGCTTTTATATCAAACTACTATTAGGAAGCAAAGAGTACAGAGTTTGGAAGTCAAAAAGACCAAAACGTCTGGGGACACACAGCGCCGCCCCTTTCTGGGCTTCCTCTCTGGCAGGCCTGGGGAGTTTCTGGGTCCTTGGTTCCTCTGTCTGTGTCTGTCTCCCAGAATGTATGCCTTGCGCACAGTAGGGCACCTGTAAATACGTGTGAGATATACAAGAGCTGATAGCAAACTTGCAGGGACAAATCAAGGAAGTGGAGTCAGGCCCCTGTGCCCTCGCACACCTGTGACCTGATAACCAAAATCGTAACCCTCAATGAGCTGCAACTGAACTCAGTGAGGACCAGAAATCATCTAGGTCACCTTAACTGGCTCACCTCCCCCAGCCCGGGTACAATGTCTCCCTCACGAGAAGGTTAACGAGACTAATTTGGAAGGCACTTCCCGTGGAGGCTCATTAAGTTCACTATACTTGTAGGCAGCAAAATAGGGCAACTAGGTCAGAGTAGACAATAAATCCATCCAGTTGTGGCAAGAGATTAGTGCATGGAGTGGGCGTGTGCTGGAGCTTTCAGTGTCCAGAGCTAATAATCTGTCTCCGAGCCCCTCCTGCCTCCACTGGGGCCCCGAGACGGGCAGGCGAACCCCAGCCACACACAGTAGGACCACTGCTCTGGCTGCTGAGTGAGGCCTTGCCCAGAGCCTTTGCCTAAGCCCAGTGCCCCTGGGCAGTGGTGGCGCTGTTACCTGAAGCGCCCTCCTGTCCCCAGGAAAGATATATTCTTGGAGGAAGACACCTGCAGCCATAGTCTCTGTGTTTTGTGGTACCTTGTGGGCATGGATGATGGCATCAAATGTGCAGGGCATTCCCAAGTTCCACCTCAGGAACAGAGGTCCGGGAAGGCTGAGCAGCAGGTTCTAGTTTGCTCAGAGCGCTGACAACTGAGAAGTGTTCGGTCCACACTCGTGACTTGGGGACAGCACGACTGCCACTCAGCAGACACACTTTTGGGGTGCGCTCTGGCACCTGCTGGGCGCCTGCAGTATTTGGCTGACTTTGGAGAAGTCTCTCTACACACTCCTCGGGCCTCAGTTTCTCCAGTGAACTCGCGAGGTCGGCTGATATTAAGACTCTGTCATGTGTTTAGTTTCTTTATTCAAATCCCTTATAAAAGATCCCCTGAGTCTCTGGTAAAAAATACTTGCATATTTCCATCCCTCCCAACATCCACACAGAGAGGTTGGTGTAGAGTAGAGAGCAGGAGCGAGAACCAAGAAGGCTCGGCACATGGCAGGCACCTGCGCTGGGTGAGCCCTGCTACCCAGACCCTGGTGAGTGGTCCCTCACTAGCAGAGGTCACAAGACCCCTCCACAAGGTGCCCTTGTGTCAATTTCACAATCCATTTGCTCCCCCCACCCCCCTGTGATGCATACCTGCCGGCCTAGGGTTCTCCGCAGGCGCCCCTTTTGCCAGGGGTTCTCCCAAGGAGGTGACACAGAGGAAGAGCAGGAGCTGCCAGGAAACCAGCAAGTTCATCCTGGGAAGAGGCAGGTCCTAGGAGTGCCCAAGGCCGAGAGAAGGAGCAGGGGTGAGCTCAGGCACGGCGTCCGGGCCAGGTGCTGGAGGCTGAGCCCTGGAAGAGAGAAAGGACCTGTTCTTGGAGGCTCCCAGGGGAGGGATGGGCCTCCAAAATCAAACGTGGGAAGTGTGATTGACACCACTTGCCCAGGGTCATCAACTCCGAATTCATGCCAGGTGACACCGGTAAGGTCCCGAAGGAAGAGAGGACCCAGTTTGGAGAAGGAACAGGATGCTCAGGTGGGAAAAATGTCAGGGTTCTGAATCTCAGGTTTGCTTGAGTGAAGTCTGGAGACAAGAGGGGTAGGAGTGAGGTGGGACACAGGGTCAGGACTTCAGATCGCTGAGACTCGGGTTCAGGCTCTCTCTGGGGCCTGGGACTGTGCTCTTCTCTCCCTGCTGGGTCTGCACAGATCCATGACTTCCTGGTTTCTGCTGTCCCCACTAGAAAGTCCCCTCCCAAATCTGGCCCCGTTCCCTCCTGCTATCATAGAAGCCCAATTCTTTATCTTTTCTAGAAAAGGGGAGAAAGAGGCAATCATCTTGCTTTCTCTCTGAGCCCTTCACAGCCTTGAAGACCGTCATTAAATTGCCTTATTGCCTATAATTCAGGGAAGAAAAAACCTTCCCCGGATTTATCAAGTCAGTTGTCTCCAGTCTATTCTCTGTGGGCTCGGAGAGGTAGGAATTGAATTGGCCTCGTCAATCTAACTGCTGAGGTGGGAGCTGTGTCCTGACCCTCATCTGCCCCTTTGCCCATCCTCTCCACGCCCCGCTTCCCCAGCTCCCAAGTTCAGTTTCTCTTGGACACAGTCATCAGGCACTTTGGATTGTCCAGGAAACCTGACAAAGACAAGGTGCGTTTGGGTTGGATTTAGCCTAGAGCTCCTACGCGCCTCACATCCCTCTGACTCCACCGCTGCCTGTCTTCCCCCACTGCAGGACCCAGGCGTGGTACCAGGGTATGAATCCTGATTGGGGTGGGGGGCTCTGAACTTGCACCTGGCCTTAGCTCTGCCCTCATTCTCATGAGACAAGCAAGTCACCCCCGGTCTCCTGGACAAGTGGTCGGTCTGTAAAACAAGGAAACGGTTGGCCGAGGCTGTCGGCTCAGAGCACTCATCCTGACAGACGTTGTGTCTGACGCCTTAGAGGCAAGCTCTTGGTGCCTCCTCAGGCCTGGCAATGCAGGAGCAGAGGCAGGAGTCGTAATAGCTTCGGAGAACAAGGGAAGGCGTTAGACAGCGCGGTCCAGCGTGGTTTGGAAGTTATCCCGTAAGCACCACCCGGGGGCTGGGGTCGTGCCAGTGCAGGGCACACAGGTGTGCCGACGCAGGAAGACCTCGTCTAGTGTGAGAAACTGATTCTCAAGCAGACAGTTTCAAAATTGCGCTGGAAATCACACACTGGACACCCATGAGGACGCAGCTCCGGGAGCTGGGGTGCCAGGGGAGCCCGAGTCGGCCAGAGGATGACACTCTGAGGAAGGCACCCGGCGGGGCCCTGGGGTGGCAGGCAGGGGCTGGTGTGTGTGATGAGAGGGCAGGGCTGTGTGGGAGAGCGTGGAGCCACGCAGGAAGGTGCCGGGGAGCACAGCCGTCGGAGCGCTGGCTGTGGGGATGGGAAGGGGTCCCCGCTTTCGACCCTCTGTGGTGACTCTGCCCTGCATCAGACCATGGGGCTCTCCCAGCACGCACATACCCACAAACACACACACTGCATACGTACAGCACTCCCACACCACGCACACACGAAACTCCTGAGCTCTGTTCACTGTCTTGTCCACATGGGCACAGAATAGCTGCAGGGACTGAACTGTGCGGGAAAGAGCTCTGGCCTGCTGTGGACGATCCGTGCGGCTCCACCTCCAGGCTTGGTTGGGAAGCTTTGGCGTGGGGTGGCTTCCCTCCTGGGCCGGCCCCCGGTTCTTAGCAGGGTCTAGCGGAGCGTGTCGGTAACTAGGGTTTATATTTGCAAGGTCTGCTCAATGGAGCTCCATGGAATCATGGGTCCTGGAGGGTTCCCTACCTCCCCAAAAGCTTCTGGGGCCTTTGGTCCCAGCCATGGGGTTCTTCACTGAAGGTGACACCCCACACCATCCACAGCAAAAGCAAAGCCTTTGGGACCCCCGGGGTCCTGGCTTCAGGAACAAAATGCAAGTCAGTGAATCCACCCAGCCGACCCAGGATAACGGGTCCCTGCCTTTTACCTACCTGATGAATTCACATCAGTCTTGGCACAATCTCAACGCCCTACTAGGGCAGCACGGGGATGTGCTGTGCACCTACCTTGGCCCAGGCGGGAGCTCGGCAGCGTCCTGGAGGACAGCAGGAAGTGCCGGGGTAGGTGAGCACCCGTGGGAGAGAGCTGGGCTCCTGGGCTCACGCTCACAGCCTCCCAATCTCGTCCCCTTTTATCAAGCCCGGTGACGTCGCCAGACACAAGCCCACCTCTGCCTCCCTCTCCCTCCTCCCGGCCTCTTCAGAGAGCTCAGCACCCTCTGGCACTTGCCCCCCTTCACGGGCCTCCCAGGCAGCCCTGCGTCCTCCCTGGTCCTGTCACCCTCCCTGCGCCCTCTCCCACCTGAGACCCGTTTGCCCTAACAATGAGGACACGGGGAGCCAGCCTGTGTGAAGTGCCTCGTTCCCGGCCCAGAAGAGCCGCAGGCACAAGCCGCTGAGGTGGGGACGACACAGGAGGACAGGGAGGGCACAGCCTGACCCAGGGGCTGCTCTATGCCCACACACTGCCAGCTCCGAGGTCCCTTTGGCCCTGACCCCAGGCATCTCCTGGGCTCTGAGGAGTAGAGGGTGGGAGGGGATCTCTGCTGTTTTCTTCCTTCCTCAGTTTCTTGGCACAGGGATTTGAGACACCCGGATGGGCAAGCAGGCTAAGCAAGCAGCTGGCTGTGAGAAAGGAGAGCAGTTGGGCGTGGTGGTGCACACCTGTAATCTCAGCTACTCCAGAGGCAGAGGCTGGGGGGTTGCAAGTTCAAGGTCGACTTGGGCAACTTAGTGAGACCCTGTCTCAAAATATAAATAAATAGCACTGGATGTAGCTCAGTGTTAGTGCACCTCTGGGTTTAATCTCCAATACCAGGTAGAGAGAGAGGGAGAGAGAGAGAGAGAGAGGAGGGACTGCGATGAGAATGCATAGCAGCTCTGGAAGGAGAAGGTACTGCCGTGCTGGGGAGGTGCTGGAACGCAGGAAAGTCAGTTCCATGTGGCGGCACGCCCACCCTCTGCATGCCATGCTGTACCTATCTGCGCTGGGAGGGACAGGCCTGTCCCTTGTGCCCTGGACACTCACTGGTACACAGTGGGTACCCAGCAAATGCGACTTTGCAGCCGGCACTGTTTGACGGCAGGGGCTGTGTCCTCCTAGCTGGCCCTGGGGGCTGCACTGTGCAGAGCCACCCCACATGGTTGAGCCGCCCTTCCCGGCAGCACTGGACCGGTGTCCATCGCCGGCTGAACGCTTACTGCTGACAAATGCACTGTGTCACTCCCTGGGATAATTAAACACTAGGAGCAAAGTGATAGAGGTGGGCCAGGGATTTAGCTCAATGGCACCACACCTGCCTGGCAAGTGCAGGGTCCTGAGTTCGATCCAGGGTACCAGGAAACAAAAGTGAGAGGGAGGAAGGCAGGCAGACCTTGCTGCCATCATCTTCTCGGAATGGAGGTGCGCTGGCCTTGGGCTGCCCCCAGAAGCCTGGCGGGGACTTTCTGGGCTGTAGACACTGACTTCGAGGCCGAACCGTCTCGCAGCTCTGGGATTTAATCTTCACTTTCCCCCCATAAATACAGGGCGGGGGATGGGCCTTCAGCCCCAGCCAAGTCCCACCGGGCTGCGATCTCTGCTCCCAGCCGTCCAGGCAGCCTCTTGCGTTGACTTGGAGGTTTGAGGTCACGCAGCTCCATTCTGGTTCCTTCGGGACTTGGGGAGGCCCGGGGAGTGAGTCAGTGCAGGAGGGGAGGGGGCTGCGGGGGCGGCCTCCGGTTCCCTTCTTGCCACTTCATCAACATCCAAGTTCAAGGAGCTCATTTCTGAGGTTCAGACCATTGAGCTGGTGCCCTGAAGCCTCCGGAACAGCTGTGGGAGGCAAGAATCATTACTCCAGACAAAGGGTAGGGAGCAGATGCAAGGTGCGGGCTATTAGGGAGCTGGCCGGGGAGGGGCCGCCCAGCCGGCTGGGGCATGGAGGTGCTGCTCTGGGGCCTCCTGGGCACCCCTGCGAAGTGCTTCGGAGAGGGCGGTGGGAATGTCCAGGAGCTGGGGATCCGCCACCTGCTTTCCCCACGTCACCACCCTCTCTGCGCCGGGCCCAGACTTAGCCAGCTCCCCCGGAACCTCCGGCCCTTTCTGGGTGGTCGCTGGAGTCTCCCAGCCGCCACCCTCTGGCTGCCCCTCCACACCCTCGCCCCAGACACACTTGCGGGCTCCCACCCGCTCCGTTCACGTTGCGGGGAAGCGGCAGGGAGAGGGCGAGGACGAAGGCTGGTGAGGCAGGTGCGGGAGTGGGGGAGGGGCGCGGGGCTGCTGCACCCGGGGTGCTCCCACCCCCAGACACCACTGCCAGCCGCCCGAGTGCCTACTCACCGCACTCAGGAGGGGGATGTTGGAGGCGTTGCCCAGGAAGCCAAAGGCCACGGGGAAGAAACCCCTAGGAGCAGAGAGGAGAGGGGCTCAGTGCCGGCTGGGAGGGGAGAGGACGGTGTGGCGGCTGAGGCCCATCCAGGAGCACCTCTGAATCTGGCCCTGGGGCAGGCGTGACTCTGCACCCCTATTTAGATCGGCCACAGAGGACAGAGGTTAAGAAGGAAGTCCTTGCGGCCAGATGCCCTGGGCTCATTCTTGGCCTTACTACTTCTGGCAAATTCCTTCGCTTCCCTGACTCTGTTTCCAGCTATAAATGTGGTGAACGATGTTAGTAACTGTATCGTAGGCCCCGGCACACAGCAGTCCTCAAGAAGTCTTTATTTTTATGAGTGCTACTCTGTGTTTCTGTTTTTCGTCCCCTCCTTACATGGGCTGCTCCGGATCTGGTGGGCTCTGGGCATGGACTTGTTGGAGGCCACGCCCACACGGGCACGGCCGCATGCCCTGGCATTCCCCTTGCAGGCCGCCTCTGCCTGCCCGTACGGTCTCGCTCTCACCCAACGCCCAGGGGAGGCCTGACAGGGGACACCTGTGTGACATGGCTGCAGTGGGAAGGAGGCCCGAGCGCCCTGGACATGAGAAGTTTGGATTCTGAGCCAGGTGCTGCAGCTCACACCGGTGATCCCAGCTCTCGGTGGGCGGAGGCAGGAAGACTGCAAGTTCATAGCCAGCCTGGACAGCTAAGTGACCCTGCTGGGGTGGGGAGGCTGGGACGTGACTCGGTGGCTGGGCCCTAGCCCAGCACGCACGAGGCCGCAGGGTCCACCGCAGCTCCACACGCAGGCACCTGCGTTCTGGCGGAGCCCGTGTCCTTGGGCCCCTGTCCTGAGGCGTCCTGAAGGTCGGACTCACTTGAAGAGACTGAAGAACCCGTAGGTCTCCAGGAGCATACCCAGGAGGGGCCAGCGCAGGAGCACAATGGCCACACCGCCCAGGAAGAAGCTGGTGCCCTTGAGCTTGTGCCGCTGGAAGAAGAAGGAACACGTCCTCCGCAGGCCGATGATGAAGGAGAGGCCGGTCAGGAACAGCAGCTGCGTGGAGGGACAGGGAGCAGGGAGCGTGAGGGCAGGCAGGGCCCCCAGAGCCAGGGCCTCGGGCTGGAGCCTGGCTGGGGCAGGGCCTGCTGACTCCCAGGACCACGTGGCCAGCAGCCTTGAGTCCTTCAGCCCATTAGGGTCAGAACTGCCCAACGGCGTGACAGACAGGGAGAGCTTTGAAGTCTAGCTTCACACCGGACTCCTCGGATGCTAAAGCTTCTTCAAACACGCCTGCCTTTCTCACCATGTCTCCAGGGGGCTGGGTGGACAGTGGGGTCCTCTCTGTTTACCAAAGGGGAGCCTGAGGCTTAAACAGGTCAGGGAGCTACAACCCAAGTTGCATGGAACCTTCCAGGGCTCCACAGCCGCAGAACCATACACCAGGCCCTGTGGTCTTCGGGCTGCCCCCCAGGACCCTTGGGAGCGGCGGTCCTGTCCACCCCTCCCTTCGGCTGGCTGCCAGGGTCATCCCTGTGCTCCGTCCCATCCCCACCCACCTGCACTGCCGGGCCCACCCCCGGGCCCACCCTCTCCCCGAGGCCCTCGCCCTCCTCTCCCCTCTAAGCTGCTGTTTCTCAGTCCTCGATCATCAGGTTGGGGCCTCACCCTTCCCCTCCCAACCTCCCCACTGCACGGGAGCGTGGCATTTCCCTGGCCCTGGACGCTGGATTTCCAGTGGTAGGGACAGGGTCTGATTCATCTCAGAACTCCCAGAGCCCCACCCGGAGCTCGGCCCCGGCATCAGGGTCCTCAGGGTTCTCAGGCTCTCTGAGCCGGCAGCCTCTGCTCTGCCCAGGCTCCACGGTGTCTGACCCCTGGATGGGCAGGACGTGGATGAACTTGGGGCTCACCTGCCTGGCAGTAGAGACCTCGGGAACTTGGGACAGGAGAAGTGCAAGGGGCTGGGGACTCACGTTTCCAGAAGCCAGGAGCACGGAATCAAAGTACAGGAGAATCCCAAAGAGGATGAAGAAGACGCCAAAGCCAGTGATGCCTACGCCAATCTCTGCAACGGGCAAGGAGGCTGTGGTGGGCGTGGCTCGGGAGCTCCGGCCCGAGGACAACAGGTGCCCTCTGCCAGGAGGGGATCTCAGCATCTGTGCTCTCGGGACGACAGCTGGGGAGGGCTTGGTCCTCACAGCAGTCCATGGGGAGCAGCGCCGTCCCCGTCACTTCCTGCTGTCTTGAATGCTGCCCTGCCCAGGCCACTTTCAGGGTTGGGTCCCTGACTGCACACAGCCATCCGCCTACTCTGTCCCTGTGCCTGCACCTCAGACCCTCTGGGGCCATCCACACAGGGGAGAATGTGCCACCGAGCCACTGCCACCGGCCCGAGAGCCACAGAAGCACCCTACTGGTCCTCGGAACCACCCTCCTCTCTCCGCAAATGCCCCTGTGCCCAGCTCCAGGTGCTGACCTCTCCCAGGTCCTGGGGAACAAAGTCTGAGTCAGGAGTGTGCTCTCCCCTGCCCGCTGGATCCCACTCCCCCCGTCCTGTCCTGCAGCTGCCCACACGGGCCTTGGATCCTCAGCGGAGGAGTGGACGCCACCAGCAGTGCCCTCCCGGGCGGGCGGCTGTCCCAGGGAACCCTCGAGCCCAGGAGGCTGCCAGAGCCAGTGAGCAGCAGGAGTGCAGCCTGGGGCCATCTTGCTGGGTTTCGGGCTGCACTGTGCACGTCCCAGACCTTCAGGTCACTGCCCTGCAGTGAGGGTGAGGGGCCTTTTGTCTGCACAGCACAGAACTGTGACTTCTACTCATCTCTGTCACTGGCGTGGTCAGTGAAACCCGGTTCATTGTGTTTCATTTTAAAATTTAAATCTTGAATTGTGGGAAGATGCACCCGACCTAAAATTTAGCATCTTACCCAGTTTAAAGGGACAGTTTTCTAGGGCTGGGCAGACATCCCCTGTCCACATCCAAAATTCTTTCCATCTCGTAAAACTGAAATCCTATAGGGGCTGGGGATTTGGCTCAGTGGTTCCACCACCTGCCTCAAGTGCAACGGCCTGAGATCAATCCCCAGGACCAACAGAAACAAAACAAAAACCTGAAACCCTGTACCCACTAAACTTACCCCCATCCTTTCCCTCAGCCTCCTACAGCTGCCATTCTTTTTGTCTCTGAATTTGACAATGCTAGGAATCATGTACAAGTGGAATTGCACAGCATTTATTCTTTTGTGCCTGGCTTTTTTCATCACTGTAATGTTCTCAAGATTCCTTTATGTTGTAGCACGTGCCGAGATGTCCTTATCTTTTTTAAGGCCAAATAATATTCCACTGAATATATATACCAGCTTTTTGTCAATCCGTTTATCTGCTGTTAGACATCTGAGTTACTTCCAACTTTTCAGCTATTATGAATAATGCTGCAAGGAATGTGGGAGTAAAAGCAAAATCTCCTGAAGACCCTGCTTTTTAATCCCTTTGGTATATACCTATCAGTAGAACTACAGGATCATACAGTGTTTTAGACTGTAAGTTAAAAAAAGAAAACTGCCTTACTGTTTCTCAAAGTTGCTATATCCTTTCTTATTCCCATTTACAGCGTGCAAGGGGTCCAATTCCTTCACATTCCTAAAATGGTCTTTACTGTAATTTTTTTATAGCAGCCATGGTAATGGGCAAGCAATGGTTCCATGCAGGCGGTTTTGATGTGTGTGTTGTTAAAGCCGGGGATCAAACTCAGAACCTTGCACTGGCCAGGCAGGCGTGGCACCTCTGAGCTAAGTCCCGGCCCTCCCTTGCGGTTTGGGCTGGATCTCCCTAAAGGTTAGTGGTGCTGAGCAGCTGGTTGTGCGTTGGCTGGCCATGGCTCATCTTCCGGGGAGAAGCCTGCCCCAGTCCTGCACCTGTGTTTTCATTGGGTTTTTCTTTTTCATGTTGATGAGTGATGTGAGTTCTTTATACATTCTGATATGAACCCCCTTATCAGGTGCGTGATTTGCAAATATCTCCTCCCGTTCTGTAGCTTGGCTTTTCACCCTCTTCACGGTGTCCTTTGATGCACAGAAGTTTTAATTTTCACGTACTGTTGTTTGATCTATTTTTCCCTTTTGTTGCTTGTGCTTTTGGTGTCAGAGCCAAGAAATCACTTGTTTTTTCCTAGGAATTGTATAGTTTTACATCTGACGTTTTACCTCTTCAATCCATGTTGAATTATCTTTTGCAAATGGCATCGGTAACGGCCCAGCCTCATTCCCACCCACGTGGATGTCCAGATTTCGGTCAACTGTTCACACCACCTTCCTCCCCTCACTGAACGGAAGTGAGACCCTTGTTGAAAATGTTATTGACTCATTAACATCTTGGGATTAATCTCCACAACCTCCATGACATTGGTATTACTACCATGCTTTTAAAGATGATTGTTAAACATGAGGGAGAAAATTACTCTGGTCGTTCAGAAGCGGGACAGTAAAAACAGATTAAGGCTAGGTTTACTGGCTGTAATATTTATAACTGAAAGAAGACAACACAACTGTCTTAAATCCTTTATAATCTGTTGCCATACAGATTTCAAAAAGGATTGAATTCAATTCCAGTGTAGGAAGAAATAAGGTCTCTTGTACTCTTCTGCATTTGACTCTTTGGGTGCATATTATAAAATAATCCCATAAATTATGTGTCCCGTATTAAGTCTGTTCCCTTGCAAACCCCGACTACAACAGTCACTAAATTGCTAAATCGCTCAGGCTGGGCTCGAATTTGTGATCCTCCTGCCTCAGCCTCCCAGAATGCTGGGATTACAGGTGTGCACCACCACACCAGGCTTAGGTAGCCTCTTATGTCTAGAACACTTCCTCCATCTTTTCTTGCCCCCTGATATTGACCCTTTTGAAGCTTCAGGCCAGTAAGTTTGTAGCTGTCCGTCCTTCCTGGCTGATGCATCTCCATGACTACGCATTGTTGGCAGAAACAGCCACGAGCGATGATGTCGGTTTCCCTTTGTGCCTTGGGAGGTGAGGCGTGACTCCAGCTGGGGATGTGGCATTATTCGGCTGCCGGGGTCCCCCAGCCCGTCCTGGCTGTGACCCCTGTACAGGCCCCGCATGAGCAGAGCGCTGCTCTCACCTGCGGGGCCCTGCACAGCTCGGGGCTCCCCCTTTGTGTGGCGGGCAGGGCTCCCGGCCACGTGGTCCTGGAGGGGGAGTACTGAAAAAATAATTGTTTTTATGTAGATGAAGAGTTAGAGTTTTATTTTCTTAGAAGACACAAATTATTCTGACGTCGGAAAAATATTCATACACAGAAGCCTCCTCTATATTGTTACCCGGAGAAGTGTTTCACATGCAAGTAGTGTAAAATTTGGTATTTCCCTATTACCTTCCCCTTTCTGTACCACTACAGAGATGTGAGGTGTTCTTTCAACTTCCTGTATAGCATGTGGACACTGCATATCGATATACAAGCACACCCACATACCTCAGAGGAAATAACAAGGTATTTTGGGGAGGAGGCCTGGAATAGTTTCCAAACACCTACTTTCTTGAGCACCGGCTCCGGGAAGTGCGGAGGTGCAGTCCACACCGCGGGCAGCACTGGCCTGGGCTCTCAGGGGCCTCGTGGCTGGCCTGTCCCCTCGGGGGCGTCCGTGACCCCGCGCTCCGCCGTTCTTCCTGTGCCCACCCATTCTTTCTGGCACCTTTGCGGCCTCCTGCTTCTCTTTCCTCCTGGGGTCTGAGTCGCTCAGTCCTTGGGCTTGAGCTTCCTCCACTTCCCGGTTTGTCTTCTCCGCCTTCCTCTGTCCTCAACCATCCGTGTGCGACCACGCTGGTGTTTCTCCTGGCCTAAGCCTCTCTTGGGCCCCAAAACTCACTTCCCGCTGCTCCCCATGCGTGCTCTGAGCGGTTCCGTTCCTTCCCTCGGCCCGACCCCCGCTGTCCCCAGTGGGTAAAAGAGGCTCCTCGCCCACCGGCTGCCGAGGCAGAAACGGAGCCATCTTGGTTCTCCTCCGCTACACCTGCCACCTCCCAGTTCCATACCCAGCTGTTTGGTCGACTGATTAGTTGCTGGACTGGGGATCAACCCCAAGGCCATCACACTGAGCTACATCGCCAGCCCCTGTTTTTAATTTTTTATTTCGAGACGGAGTCTCACTAAGTCACTAAATTGTCAAGGCTGGGCTCAACTTGCAACCCTCCTGCCTCAGCCTCCCAGAGTACAGGCATTATAGGTGTGCACCGCCATAACCAGCTCCACAGCAAAGCTTTTTTGCTGCTGCTTCCAAAATGCATCCTGAGAGCCATCTGTGTCTCTCTCTCTCACCACCTCCATCTCTCTCTCGGACTCTTGCAGCAGCCCCATTGAGTTTCCTGCCACACTCGTGTCCGATGAGACAAAGCCTCACACACACCGGGGCCCCGGGCCGCAGTGTAGGATCACCCTGCCCCGGAATGTCAGTCGCGGGGAGGCGGAGACACTGCCCGGTGGCCTTGGTGGCCCCTAAACACTGCGGATACACTGGCAGTTCTCTCTGCGGAGCTGCAGGCTCGGACGCAGCTGCCTGCACGACATGGCGTCGGATGTCGGGGGCACAAGGCCCCGCCACACCCTCCGCGCTCCCTCCTCAACCTGCCGGTGCCGGCCACAGGCACTGGAGGCATTCCCGACTCTTCCTTCCCTCAGGCCCTGCACCCGGTCCTCCAGCAAATTCCTCCCCTCCCCACTGCTGTCACCTGGGCGCCTCCACCTCCTCCCACTGCGGAGCGGCATCTTCCTGCTGCCACCCTCAGCCTTCTACACGCCTCTCGCCTCTGCGTCTGTGTCATCTAATCTATCCAGGTCTCTGCCTGTACCCACGTCTGCATTCCTATCACTGGTTTCCCATCACGTAGAGCAAGGTCCTTACCATGGCCTCTGGTCTGGCTCCTCAGTGACCTTCCTGACCCCAATTCTCCCCTTCACTAATGTTGCTCCATCCACACAGCCTTCCTTCTTGTTCTCCAAACTGCATGCTACTGCCTCAGGGCCTTTGCACAGGCTGACTCTTCTGGCAACAGGTCCCTTTAGAGGGCTGCATGGCTTTGCCTCCTCCTTTCCTGTGGTCTCTGTAAAAGAGCACTTCTCAGCAAAGCCTCTCCTCACCACTTCCAATAAGATAGCAACCCCTCCTGCTTCAAACTCTAGCCTCCTTACTATTTCCTTCTCGTCTTAGGTCTCCACCCCACATGGTAATCAGCACATCCCTGTCTAGATCAGCGGGGCACCCATCTGCCTCCTTGGCATTGTCTGCTCTGTGCCAGGCACAGTGCTGGGCACCCGGCAGAGGCAGTGTGCTTAGGGGGTGGGTGAGGAGGGGGAACTGGGCTGCCCTGAAGCCCGCTGAGCCCCGCACGCTCTGCGGGGCGTCTCCGCTCCCTGCCAACCCCTCCTGCTCCCCTCTGGAAAGGAAAGGTTCAGGGTGAGGTTGCGGAGCAGGCAGGGGAGCGGGGCTCAATTTCCGCCGAGAAGAAACCCAGCTCTGAGAGGTTTGTGGGGGGAAAGGTACCGCACAGGCAAGGCCTCCTGAGCCCACCCGTGAGCCCCAGCTCTGAGGACCCTGGATGGAGGGGACCCCGGGCCTCACTGCCGGCAGGGATGGGCCACACCCACCGGCCCTGCTGCCTCAGAGGCCAACACAGCAACCCTCAGTGGCTCCAGAGGCCACAGTGTGGGACCCCCAGGGAGCAGGCCAGCAGGGCGCACCTCCACCCGCCCCTGACTCCCGGCCTCTGCTCACTCTGGCCCTCGCTGATGGAGATCATGCTGCGGTCCGCCTGGGGGCCTTCAGGCTGGGCTGGCAGGGGGCGAGGGCCCAGCCGACCGAGCAGCGGGTGCACTCTCCTCGGGAGCCAGGACGCTGACCCTTGGCATCGGGGACGGGAGGCGCTGGTAAATCATTAACTCCCACCCCTCACACAGTTAAAGACGCAGGCTCCCGCGCGGTGGCCACTCTCTAGGCCCCTTCAGCCTACCTCTCCCGTCTCCTCTACAAAACTTGGATCTGGATCGTATAGAACGTGTGGGAAGAGCTGGAATCGGTGTCTCTGGAAATGTACTAAATTCATTTTGAAAGCTTTTTTTTTTTCCTCTCTCCGTTTTGCTTTGTGCAGTACACATGATCAACACGAGGGGGCAGCAAGCAACTGAGTAAAACCTGTTGCCGGCCTCGCGAGAGAGCCAGATTTGGTCAAGGGCTAAGCGCCCCGGGGGAGTTAGACCTGGAGGGATTCGACCCCACTTCCCCCAGCTTTGAAACTTGAGGTTGAACTTCAGAAGACAAAGCCCTGAATCCGGGCTCGGGGTGAATAGTTCTAGCCTACCTGCCTGCGGTGTAGCCCAGGGCTCATCCCTCCTTCTCCAGGCCTGCAGAGGGGAGGGCACAGCGTTCCTCATGACCTCTTCTCCACTGCAGAGTGGCGGCCGGCAACACCATTACAGCCCGCCTCCCCTCTGCAATATGCTTTTCATCCAGAAATGAAGTGCGCGGATCGCACGGCCCACATCCATACATAGTCCAAAAGCTATCATAGAGCTGACTCTGCTAACGAGGAACACAGAATAGTTTACAGTGAGAACTGGCACTTCCCAATATATAAATGCTGCGAGGCTTCCGGAAGACATGAGACAGAGGTGTGCACCTATAAATCACAACTGAGCCTGAGTTGAAGAGAAATAGAAGACTAGAGCCAGTCCATGCAAAGGCAAAAGACACATGCACATAAGAAAACGGAACAGAGCCAGGCATGGTGGTGGTGCACGCCTGTGATCCCAGCACTCAGGAGGCTGAGGCAGGAGGATTGCTGTGAGATAGAGACCAGCCTGGGCTACATAGTGAGTTCCAGGTCAGTCTCAACTACATAGTGAGACCCTGTCTCAAAAAACCAAGAAAAAAAAAAAAAAAGAAAAAAAACCAGAACAGGAGTGAACACTAGCTCACTAGACTAAAACTAACATTACGCAGATGATGGCAGACTGGATGTGCTTGTACCTAAGAGGGAAATCACCTCAATGGAGGTGGGGGGGCATGTGTGTGCCGTCAGGTAGAGGAGAGACAAGGAGGAGGTTTGAGGTGTGCACAGACTCAGGTCTGTGAATTGTTCGGATATTTGCCTATGTGGTGACATCAGGTGGGCTTGTGACACAACAGTACAGGTGCACAGATCTCGGTCGTGTCTGGAGGGAAGGGTCAGTCCCCAGGATGCTGCTAGGCCTTGGCGACTGCGTTTTCCAAAGGTCTCTGGGGAACAGAGGGCGGACTGGGAAGAGCGTGGTGGTAAAGGTGGTGGGCAGAGCAGGTGCACGTGGACCCATGGAACGTGTAAGAAAAGCAACAGACGAACAGCGCCGAAGGTTTCCGCGTGTAACCGTTACAACATAGATGTTCGCCCCTGGTCCGCAAAACCTGAAAACTATAGACGATAGCATGAAGATGAAGTAATTTTGGAAAGCTTTTATTAAGGAGATCCAATGAGATCTCTTACATTTCATGGGTCTCTGCTTTTCTCTCTTTCTTTTTTTCCCCGGCCTTCACATGGATCTTGTCTTTAGTTAGCCTCACCCCCAGCCCTCCTTTCATTCTTTTCTTGTTTGTTTCCTCTCTCCTTCCTTCCGCCACGCTTGACTTAAAATGTTTGTTTCAAGGATATTTGGTTTTCTAGCTCTCCTGTAAATATGACGAGTTCCTCCCTTTGCCTCTTTCGGACACCCCACCTCTCGTTGGAACCATTTTCTACCAAGGATGTAGTAGTTGAAACGTTAGAACACCCTGTAGCCAATGCACAGAGTATATTATTCAGTCATCTCCAGACAATGTCTCTATTTCATTCTAAGTTTCTTCTCCACATACCTCCTTCGTGAATTACGCATGAAACTCATTTGAAAGAAAAGCAACTAAACAGCTTATAAAATTTCTCAGTAGTGGTAGGAAGTGTGACCACGTTATACTAACAGTGGATTTTGTCCCAGTTAGTGTAAACATGTGCAGGATATGGGACAATTGTTTGGGAAATGTTTCCTGTGCGTGGCGGCCACCAAATGCCAGGAGAGTTGTGCTTGCCTAATCTCGATGATCTCTCTCCCCCCAAATTGCCACAGTGCCCCCTCTGGCCATTAAAAGCTCCCACAGCTTGAGAGGGTGGGCTCTAAAGTCAGTGCCATGGGCTTCATCCAGGAGGCCTGATCCATTCTGTTTACCCTTCTGTGCCTCAGTTTCTCACGTGAGAATAGTACCTGTCAGCTAGAGCTGTTGTACCCAGCACACACTAAGCACTGAGCCAGCCATGGCACTGCAGAAATAACACTGCTCCTTAGCATGCTGTTAACATGGTATTCCACGTGAGACTTTCGCTCCCTTCCACCTATTCTGAGCTGCTCCCACAGGGCAATAAAGCAGAGGCTGGGAGATCCTCTCCACCCCAAAGGCCAGCCACGGAGCCACAGGAGCACGGGAGAACTGGACCCTCCTGAAACGGGCCCCCAGGCCCGATTCTCTGGGAACTGGTGCTGGGCCCCAGGGGTTCATCCACAGCTGGCCTCCTGGAGAGGCCCCTTGACAGGAACGGCTCACCCCAGGACCTCAGACCAACTCCCCTTTCCTGCTAAGCCCCTTAAACTGTCCTGGACCAGGAGGGCAGCCAGAGGCCGACACAGACACCACCTGTACAAACCATTCATTTTATTTTCAGCATTGGGTTTATACAAACTTGCAATATACAAATGAAGGACTCACAGGGATTCTCAAGTAGCTAGATCGTGTAAGAATGCTCCTGAAAGAAAAGAGCAAACTCCCTGCCTCGGCCAGAATGTCCCTCATCCTGGGGAGGGGCTTGTTGGCTCGGTGGACACTAAGGGGCAGCTACAGCAGCTTGGTCCCAACAGGAGCCCTCTGTCTAACCTCAACTCTTCACCTAAGGTCACTTTTATGCTAAATGAAGACACAGATCAGAAAGTTCCTTGTATGGTTTATTGTCTAATTCTAGTAAATCAAATTGGCCCCAATATGCACATAAATAGATATATGTATATATATATATATATATATATATATTTTTTTTTCCTTAGTTTAAAGAGCTGCCAGGTAGAGGGGAAAGGAAGTGATCCCGCCTTGCTGAAGTCACCCCTGCCTCAAGACCATGCCTCTCTCTCGGAGGCAGCAGGAGCAAGTGTGCACAGCTTGCACCTTGGAACATCTCTAAAGTGACGGTAGCCGTATTCTTGGTTACTGATCAGGGAGGTGGTGTGTGACCCGGGGAGGGCCCAGAGTAGCCAAAGCTTTCTGCAGGAGGGCTGCTAGCCCTGGGCTCCCACCTGGGCCCTGATCATTCACAGCAGTGGCAACAAACGCCAGAGCTGGAGGTCAGGTTCCAACGCTGGCCTGGAGCTGTGCGCAGAATTCCGGAAGTCCTGATTTCAGGTCTGGACAGACTTCTGTACTCCCCAAATCCTTGAACATCACGAGCCTCCCAGCTCACTCTGATGATCGATAGGCAGTTGGAGAGGCTGAGATGGTATAGCTCAGTGTCCCAGCAAGCAGCCTGCCAAAGCCCCCGGATTTCCTGGGCAAAGCCAAGACGTTACCTTGTCTGTGGGACCCTCCTCCACCAAGAAGGTGACTTCACAGTCTGGATGCCAGACTGAGGCGCCATCCTCTTAAGAACAGCTCCAGAGGAGAGGTCACAGAGGGGAGCCACGTGCAAGCATGAGAAGTCCAGGGAACTCAAGAGCCAGGAACAGCAGAGGACCCCCGCTGCTTCCTCTGGGCTGTGCTCCAAGTCACAGGTCCAGCAGGGAGAGGAGGGAGACCCTAATGCTTTTTAGCATGGGCTGCCGTGAAATTCTGCCCTTTCCAGCAGTGAGACAAGGGCAGGTGGTCAGGAGCCACAAGGACGGGTGCCTGCTTGGTTTCCTTCTGCGCACGTGACTGCAAATGTTTCCTCCAAGAGGACTCGAGCACAGACAACCCTCACAGCACCAGCAAGGGAGGACCGTGTCACCAAATGCCTGGGGCAGGACCTCCGAGGGAAGGACCTGTCCCGGTGAGACGCTCTCTGGGTGACTCTGGGGACCAGCCCTTTGCTGCCCGTGGGGTGGGAGGGCAGGACACAGGGCTGGGACCTGGAGGCCACCATCCCAGTCCAGGCCCATCACTAACTGATCCCTTCAGACATTGCACATTTTGAAAATACGTTTGCTTTTTAAACAAAAGCATTAAGTAGATCTGTTTTACAATAAGTCTTTCCTCTTCTCTTCTTTGGATAAAAAAGGCAAGGGGTATGGCCTCAACATGCTAGGAGTGGTGTGGAGAGAGCGGGCCCGGGCAGGAGCTGAGGAGGAGGTCTGACACCCAAACACACACACACATTACATAGACATCCATACCATGAGTCATCTCCAGAAAACATATATTAAGGCGTGTAAAGCAATGTACGGTGCCAGCTTTATGACAAGGGGGAGAGTTGGCAGAGGTGTCAGCGTTATTTACATGTATATTTCTTTTTTTTTTTTTTTTTTTTTGGTACCAGGGATTGAACTCGGGTCCTTGCACTTGCAAGGCAGGCCACCAACCGCTGAGCTAAATCCCTGGTCCTTACATGTATATTTCTAAAAATACCACTTTAAAAAAAGGAGAGCTAGACAAACAAAGGGGAAGGCATGGAAGGCCCTGAAAAATCCGTCCCTTGAGGGAGGAAAAGGGTGTGGAGAGAAAGGGTGACCTGGTAGCTAACCCCAGCTGCCAGTGGGTAGGGGACAAAGCAGATCTGGGGTGTGTGAACCAAGAAGGTGGGAAATGTAGCCAGGGGTGATTTTCACGTTCCGAAAAAGCCTGCTAGAAGTGAAGAGTGGAGCCCTCCCAGTCTGTTGTCCCCCTGAAG